CCTGCGCTAAGTTTAGCGCATCAAACAGTGCACTAGCACTGACCATGCCGTGCCGGTAGAGTTCCGGTAGGCCGATCCCACTACTGAGGCGGATACCGGTACTGATACCGGTCGGCAATGGTCTGGCCTCAATGCTGCGAGGCCAGGCCAGACCCTGAACCGTCCAGATGGACGGTTCAGCCTCAATCGGCGGGCGGCAGCTTCAAGAGCGCCGCCAGGCCCAAACGAAGTGTCGTTTGGGYCTACCCGATRGGTSATAGTCCAAAATCAGGCCTTTAGGGCCTGTAAACCCCAAAGGTTGGGCCTTTAGGCCCTGGTGTGTCCCTCCGGCCCTAAGTCGGGTCCGGTAGGACCCGTGTGAGTCGAAGATGTAACACAGTGTGAGAGGTTGTCTGTATTAGTTCCTCCCTGGGGATCCATCGGTCTTCGATGGGTTCTTGATAGGCAAACCTGACCTTGTACTGCTTCTGTAGTCTCCCTCTGCGACGTGTACGGAAGACATCTACGGCCACTATTCTGTCTACATCATAACCTCCGTCCATGTCTGGTGGGATCATGGAATGACGAGAGGGAAACTGTTGCATACCGTAACGGTGCAGACCAGAACAAGAACCGACCTCTCTCACATAGTACAAGATAGCGCAGCGGAAGGCTAATATACCAATGATCCGAACAATCAATGTTGCAATGCAGACCAAACATACATCATCATCATCCCATGGTGTGAAGGGGCCTGGCGCTCGCACAAGAAGAATACGCCAGTCCCCAATCATACACAGACCAAGAAGAGGGGGGGTTAGACGAAGAGGAAGGGAAGATGGGATTGTCGTCAACACCAAGTCTTCGGTACAGGTCCCAAATAATCCCTCGTCAAATGTCTGAATCCGAATGTCGAGTCTGGATCCGAATGTCGTCAAGTCCCAAAGTCACCAATCTCTCCCTCTCTTGTAGTTTGTAGATACTGAGAAGTTAGGTAGCGAGAGGTTGAGGGGGAGATGGTGGACTTAGTCCGGTACTAACCTGTGAAGGTGGTGCCTTGTTGCAGGCACATCGAAGACGAAGCTGGAGCTGTGGCGCCACAGGTAAGTCTCCCTGGCCTTCGCCAACCATCTCTCTCTCTCCAACGCTACTCTAGCTCCTAATAGCGCCCAGCGCTGAAGACTACTGCTAACGCTACTACTACTACTGCAGCGCTCCTCCAGAGTGCTGCTGCCGAATCCTTAAGACTGCCTCCTGCACGTGAAGTGCTTGGGAAGTTCCTATGAACTACCTTGTGACTGTCCGCAGCCCGTAGGGCGGGCCAGTCTTGTATAGTGCTGGCCCGTCCAGGAGGCTGCTCTTGCCAATGCCAAAACGTGCCAGACCCTGGCGTTGAAGTTCAAACAAGGGTTGTCTTGAAAACAGGCCAAAAATGGCCTGTGCTAAAACCCTGGTCTGGTGCCTAAGTTTCAGGGCAGGTCGATCTTACGAGGGCCTGAAAATGGCCCTCCGTTTCAGGCTGAAAAGACTCAGGGCCTTGAGGGCCCTGTTTTAGGTTGAAATGACACAGGGCCTGTAGGCCCTTGTTTTCAGGCTTTAGGCTGAAAACGACACATGGCCTGTAGGCCCTTGTTTTCAGGCTTTTAGGCTGAAAACGACACAGGGCCTGTAGGCCCTTATTTTCAGGCTTTTAGGCTGACAACGCTGGTCGGGCCCTGCAGGCCCGTGTGGCTGCGCAGTATGCCACAGAAACTGATCGTTTGTGATGCAGGGAAGTAACTTAGACGTGTGGAATACCGGGTATGTGTGTAGGTGGGGTGGAATCTCGATACTGTAGGGTGGACCATTTGCCTCTCCCTTGACATCTAACACTTGCCATGGTCACCTATACGCAGGTAACAATCTCTGCGAGATTCATTCTTCCGGAATGAACTCCTTAAACTTTACCCAGACCAAGTCACCTACTGCAAATTGAGACGGGCGTCGGTGCATGTTGGCTTGTTCTACCGTCTGGTGTTGATCCCTAAGGATATTCTTCTTCATCTGCTCTAGCTCCTTCTCATTTTGAATGGCAAATTCTTTCGTACAGGGTGGCAATCTCTGAATCTGATCCGGATTCAGTGTCGCATACCGTAATGGTACAGACCAGAACAAGAATCGACCCCTCTCGCATAGTACATGATAGCGCAGCGGAAGGCTAAAATACCAATGATCAACCCAATCAATGCCGCAATGCAGACCAAACACACATCATCATCATCACAAGGTGTGAAGGGACCTGGCGCTCACACAGAAAGAATGCGCCAGTCCCAAACATACACAGACGAGGAGGAGAGGGATCAGACGAAGAAGAGGGGGACGATGGGAATGTCGTCAACACCAAGTCTTCGGTACAGGTTCCAAATAATCCCTCGTACAATGTCTCAGCCCCAATGTCGAGTCTGAATCCAAATGTCGTCAAGTCTCAAAGTTGCAAATCTCTCTCTCTCTCTCGTAGTCTGTAGATACTGAGAAGTCAGATAGCGAGAGGGTGAGGGAGAGATGGTGGACTTAGAGGAGGAAGAAGAAGAACTCGCTCTCTCTCTCCTGTGCCAAGTACTGACCTGTGAAGGTCGTGCCTTGTTGCAGGTACATCGAGGACGAATCTGGAGCTATGGCGCCACAGGTAAGTCTCCCTGGCCTCCACCAACTCTCTCTCTCTCCAATGCTACTCTAAGCTCCTAATAGCGCCCAACGCTGAAGATGACTCCTAGCGCTAGCTACTACTACTGCAGCGCTCCTGCAGAGTGCTGCGGCCAAATCGTGAAGACTGCCTCCTGCAGCTGCCCGTGAACTGCACGTGAAGTGTCTGTGAACTACCTGCAGCCTGTAGGGCGGACCATTCCTATATAGTGCTGGTCCGGCCTGGGAGGTTGTTCTTGCCTATGCCGAATCGTGCCAGACCCTGGCGTTGAAGTTCAAACAAAGGTTATCTTGAAACAAGCCTAAAAATGGCCTGCGCTAAACCCTGGTCTGGTGCCTAAGTTTTAGGGGAGGTCGACTTTATGAGGGCCTGAAAATGATCGTCCTTTTCAGGCTTTTAGGCCGAAACGGCACAGGGCCTGGAGGACCCTTATTTTCTGTCTGGTCGGGCCCTGCAGGCTCGTGTGGCTGCGCAGTATGCCACCCCACCCCCTCCTTGAAGGACTGAGCTTACCTGCGAGGGCGAAGCTGCCTGTCGGAGGGAGGGACCAACGTCTGGGTGGGAGGGGCAGGTCGTGAAGCTTTCTTAGCTAGTCTTTTGTTGATCATAGTGAGCGTAGATCAGCGGTGCGGATGCCTGCAAATCTGCTCGTGAAATCCATCGAGTGTCGTCAGGATCGCATGCTTTGAAGGTAACTTTGTACTGCTGAGGCTTGTTGTCGTACTTGCGATCCGTGATGACGCAGTCGACTTCCTGATGACCATCCATAGACGGAGGGTCTTGCGATCGTCAGCCCGGGAAATCGTCGCTCTTAGCTGATGTGTATGTCGCCATCTTCGAGGCGTGAAAGACTGGATGGACTGGCAGATGCAAAGGGATGTCAATCACGAAGGATGGGCCGTCGAGCTCATTGCCTGCGGTTGAACATACGGTCCATGGTCCAAACCACTTGGGGAGGAGTTTGCGCGAAACATCCTGTTCGAGCGCAAACTCTTCCGCGGAGACCCAAACCAGATCACCGGCCTGGATGGGACATGGCACGCGATGCCTGTTGGCTTGCTGCTGCATGCGGACTTGAGCCTTTTGCATGTTCGCACGGGCTTGAGTCAGCAATTCCGTGTACTTCCGGACGGAGGCGGGAGAGCAAGCGGCGTCTATGTCGGTTGTCCGTGGAAGGAGAAGGTCAACGAAGATACGGTATTTCCGGCCACCGTGGTGCAACTCGAATGGAGTCACGCCGATCGCTGGATGCAACAAAATGTTGTAGGCGAACTCAATGTCAGGGAGGCGGTCAACCCAATCCTTCTGATCCGGACGGATGAGTGTACGAAGCATCATTTGAGCGGTTTGATGTGCCCGCTCCGTTTGCCCGTCCGTTTGTGGACGTCGAGCTGAACTCGGTTTCATTTTGGTTTCGGATTCCTATATGAGAGAAGTCCAGAAGGCCGACATGAACCGAGTGTCGCGGTCGCTAACGATGTCTTCCGGTACGCCGTGGCTGGAAATCCAGCCGGTGTGCAAGAGGCGCGCAAGTTCAGGAGTCGTGGCGTAGTACTTGCAAGGGAGAAATCGCGCATATTTACTCAATCGGTCAACGACCGTGAGGATGCCGTCATGCCCGAGGCGGTCACGGGGAAACAGGCTGGTGACGTCCATAGCAATGGAGAGGCTTGGTTCCCGTGGGATAGGCAACGGGCGCAACTCGCCGTAGGGATTGTGGTTGCGGGGCTTGCTTTGTCAACAAACTTCGCAAGAGTCGCAACACTGAGTGACATCGGTAATGAGGTCAGACCACCGGAATCGTTGCCGAAGTCTAGCAATTGTTCGGTTGACTCCGAAATGGCCGGCGAGTGGTGGTACTCGCAGAGAAGGCAAGTCTGAAGACGACGGTCTCATGGGACACACAATAAGTCCTTGCCTTGTGAATGAAGAAGCAAGTACCCGTCGGCAATGTGATAATTGCTGGCCAGCGGGTGATCCGAAGATAGTTGCATATATAGCGTGATGAAATCCGGATCCGACTCATAGCCCCGAATGAAATGTTGCTGGAGTTCCTCGTCGAATGCGAAGGCATGATGTGTCATAGCGCAAAGATTGGGTCTTCGCGAGAGTGCATCTGCTGCGCGATTGGAGGGGCCGGCGAGATGTTTCGGTGTGAAGTCAAATTGGTCGATGAAGTACATCCATCACCCGATAGTGCTGCTCACCGTATCTTGCATCTTGTAGTAGGTCAACGAGTTGTTATCCGTGACCCATGTGAACCTACGACGCCCAAGGAGGAAGTGCCGCCATCGCTTGAGAGTCATCATGAACGCGAGCAACTCCTTCTTCCTTGCATCATCAAGTGAGTTGATGGGAGGCACCTTGTGGCTGAAATACTCCACGGGGTGCCAGTCGTTGCCGTCGTGTTGTTCCAAGACTGCCTCAATACCATAGTCAGAGGCGTCGGTTGTCACTCTCGTTGGCAAGGTGGGGTCGTAGATGCTAAGGACGGGTGCCATGAGCATGGCCGTCTTCAGTGTTTGGAATGACCGGCACGCTTCGTCGTTGAATAAGAATGGAACCTTTGGCAATTGTGATCTCGCCAATGGTGCGGCAATCCTTGAGTACTCAGTAATGAGGCGCTGATAGTAGCCCGCCAACCCCATGAATGAGCGAACTTCCGTGGTGTTGGTGGGCTCAGGCCTTACGCGGATGACCTCAATCTTGTCCCCAAGCGGACGGATGCCTTGCGGCGTCACATAATGACCCAAATAATCAAGCTCTTGTCGCATGAATTCGCATTTGTCGTGGTTGGCTTTGTACTTGGTTTGTCGTAGCTGCTCCAAAACGGTGCGCAGGTGCTCCACATGCTCGTCCAAACTCCGGCTATACACCAAGATATCGTCGAGGTAGATGAGTACAAATATGTCCAGCATGTATCGGAACTCCGTTGTCATAGCCGCTTGGAACATGGTCGGGGCCAGCCGCTTGGAACATGGTCGGGGCATTCGTAAGGCCAAAAGGCATAACCAGCCATTCCAAATGCCCATATCGTGTCTTGAATGCAGTCTTGTAGCGGTTCTTCTGTCGGATCTCGAGTTGGTGAGATCCCGATTCGAGGTCAAGCTTGGTGAAAAATTTAGCGCCGCCCAGCCGTTCGAGAAGGTTGTCGATGCGCGGAAGAGGGCCGATGTTGTTGACGGTTTGCGCGTTGAGCTTGCGATAATCGATGCACAACCGCAAGTCCTTGTTCTTCTTCCGGACGAAGAGAACGGGAGCGCCGTATGGCAAAGAGCTAGGCCGAATCCAACCTTTCTCAAGAAGGTCGTCGAGTTGTGCCCGTAGCACACTTAACTCTTCCTCGCTCATGCAGTAGATGCAACCACGCGGAGGTACGGCCCCGGCCTCGAGGATGATCTTGTGGCGGATGGGCCGATCCGGTACTACTCCGTGCGGGGCTTCGAACACGTCGTCGTAGGCGTTAAGAAGCTCGGTGATGCGTGGGTTTGTTGATGCGTCCGTCGATGAGATGTCATGGGGAGGGAGAGCGTGGAGAAAGCACACACCCATCTCCTCGATGTCGTCCCTGATGATGGAAGCTCGAATGCTTGTGGTGGACACCACGTGACAGCTGATCGAAGGGTGAGGTGGAGGCACCGTGCACGGGACTAGTACTCCGTTCCGATCACGAACATGGGCGGTGCGACGGTAGAAGTTCACTAGGTGATCCTCGCTTCGCAGCCATGACATGCCCAAAATCATGTCAAACTGGGTGTCCAAAATGTCGAAGGACACGACCTCGATTGCATGCGGGGCGAAGTACACGGGGACGAAATCAATGCACAGGTCGATTAACTTGTGTGTTTGACCGTCGGCCAACGTGACTTGAGTGGGCTGCGACTTCCTCCAAATGTGTGGCCCAAGGCCAGCGCGTACCATAAAGTCTTAGCTCATATAGTTGCGAGTAGCTCCGCAATCGATCAAAGCGCTGCAGGTCGCCTCTCCAATCTGAATGCGTATGTACAACAATGGTGCATCATTGTCGTCGTACCGTTATGTCTTGAACTCGCGGTCGATCTTTGCAAGGTAGTCGAGAAGGTCGACAACCTCTACTCTGGTGTCCATCAACGAAGCTGGTACTGCAGTGTGCAAGTATTCCCGCAAGTGTGCCTTGAGCGCGTTGCAATGCGGTTTCAGCAATCGAGCGGTCGGGGGAAGGGGCATCCATTGGAAGTCCACGAACGTCAACGGGTCGAGTCTCTCAAGTCTTGACCATGACGTCGAATCCTCGACGAAAGTTGGCGGCGAAGCTACCGAATCGGTTGTCAATGGTGATGAAACCGTGCATGCGGTGGATTGTTGCACGTGGAGTGGCTGGTCCAACGGTGGGACCAAGTGGACAACATAATCCTCATAAGAGTACCGAGGACTTGCGACATTCGCATCCTTCCCGGATCTATAGAAGGCCAATAGCAAGGCGGCCGAATCTGGTGGAGTGAGAGGTGGAGTCGCCTCACCTCCTGCGCAACTCAGTTTCCCGAGCTGGTTCGAGGTTGAACATCCTCCTTGCCCTGATCTTGGCATTGGGAGGTCTTGTGCTTGGTGTTGTTGCACCAATAGCAGCAGCCGTATCGGTTGTGATACTTGTATTCGGCCTCGGTCAAGTTGAACTTGACCCATGGTACTGGATGTCCATTTCCGGCCGGCGATGCGGTTTTCGCCTTCCCTTTTCGACAGGAGTCGTTGTTGCTTCGCGGCTGGACAGCGGTCACCTGATCTCCCTCAGATGATAATGGGGTGGTTGCCGGGTCTCCCACAATGTTGTCCAGTTGGACTGCAGCAACAGGCTACGGACGTGGACCAAACTTTCCTTTCTCCGCATAGGTTGGCTGCCACGCTGATTTCTCGTGTGCAGCAGCCCCTTTGGTCTTGATGATCTCACGACCCTTGTCGATGATTTTGACGAAGGTCGTGTATTGTTCACGATCACCGAGTGCGAGGCTCAGGGCGGCACAAGACCGGTTGTAAAACTCCCGGCGCCGATGCGAAAATGGCAAGTCGAGATCGGGTGTTGCTACGATCTTTTGCCATTCTGTGAGCCAGTCGCGTGTCGATGTGTTGCCTTGAGTCATGGCGAAGAGACGGTTGATGGCGAGCGTCGGGGCGTCGTCAACGATGAGCCGTTTCTTCCATTTCCTCGTCAAATTTTCCCAAGAGATCTTTCTGTGCAGATCGACGACCTGGACGTCGTGGATGGTTGTCAGGTAGCAAAGCCAGATCTGGCCTCTGCCCTTTGAGTTGAGGAACAACACCGCGCTGTACGAGTGCTCGGGGACGTGACGAATCCGAAGTTCCGTCGTGAAGCCCTGCTTCCAGGGGACCGGGTCTTGATGCGTATAGTCATCAAACTTTTCGATCCGGAACGTCGACATCTTGTATTGTTGCGATGCACTGGTGCTGCCATCGTTGTCGGGCTGCTGCAGTTGCCGAACCTCGTTCTTCAAGGCGTCTAGCTGCTCGCTGATCGTAGCGGGTGCGGCGAAGGTGCTGATGTCGCCGAGCATTTCGAGTACATGATCAATTCGCTGCTCCAACTGGCGGTTAGAGGCTGCACTGCTGGGTTCGCCAACATCTGGTCTTGGTGTTGCTTGCTCCAAGTCATGTACACGGGTTTGAAGTGCTCGTGTAGCATCCTCGTGTTCCCAGAGCTTTTTCTCTAACTCGGACTGCAGGTGGTTACAAGTGTAAACCAACTGGGTCACGAGTTTGGAGAGAAACTCCTTGTGCTGCTCTTCCGCTGTTGTGTCGTCGTGGCCCTCGAATGGTTCAAAATGCCAGAACTTGAGCCTTTCGGCGCTGCTGGCTTCATGTCGCTGTAACAGATCATGGGCCTCCTTGCAGCGGGCCTGGGTATCTGCGTCAGCTGCGGCCTGAAGCCGCTGTCTTTCAGTTGTTGCCTCCTCTTCAGCCTGTAGGCGGTCAGCCTCGGCTGTCGCCTGGCGCTGTTCCTCAGCCTCGATCCGTGCGAGCTGAGCTTGGAGCCACTATCAGTACTTGGCAATGGACTCGCCGGCCAGTTGGCCTGGCATGCCCAAAGCTGAAACCATCATGGTGGCGGGGCACTGCTGACGTGGTACTGCTGCTGTCGTGGCACTGCTGTCGTGGCACTGCAAACGTGATGCTGCTGTCGTGGCACTGTTTCTGGCGTGGCACTGCTGACGTGGCACTGTTGCTGATGTGGCTGTTATGATCCTGGTTGTTCACTCGCACACATAGACTTCCAGGTATGCCCATACATACACAGAAGGAAAGGGATAGGATGGGAGCATCGCACCGCACAGAGAGAGATAGACACAGCGGAAGACTTGACCATGTGATATGAAAGAGAACACTGAAAGTGCACTTCGCTCCACAAAATCCTCACAACCAGTCACAAAGGAAAGCCCAGTAGATCACATCCAAGAAACAATGAAACAATGATAGTCCCAACACAGTATCAACACTGTTTATTACACTTTGAGTTTCGAATTGTCAAGATAACCCCAGAACCATGGTGCGCTGCTCAGAAATGAGCAGCGCTTCACTCCCCAACCCTGAGTAACCGCTATCACTACCTCTGAGTCCCTGAAACATCAAGCGCCACCCAAATACTGCTCCCAGAGAGCAGCGTCACCCTGAAACAGGCCTCTGAGGCCAAGCGCCTCTTAGAGGATAAAGAAGAAGACCAGCGCCACAGTATCTGATGATGATGAAGTGCCAGATGACTTCCCAGGTGGAAGTCTGCAGCAACGCCACCTCTCCTGACAAGATGATCTCTGAGGAAGAAGTTGCAGCTATGGCTGCAGCGCTACACGCCCTGTAAGGCTGTAACCCTACTCCTGAGGAGGGTGCTGCAGGGCACCAACTTCTCTTGCCTCCAACAGACTTCAGATAGCTCGGACCTCTGGCAGGCCCACGTGCTGTCCGAGTACAGCGTCAGTCCCAGCTATGGCTGACACTCCGCAGGTCCAGCTATGGTCGTCTTCTCCAACGCTGAAGCTGTCACCACCTTCAGTTCACGCGTTGCACAGGAGCGATGTACTCGGTACCAACTGCCAAAAGCCCTGACCCCATTCCTACATCCTATCTATACTCTACTCTAGCCTAGACACGACCTAGATCGGATTGGTAGGACTGACCAGTACGGTTTCAGTTTCGGCCTCTCGGCCTCTACCTACCCGGCTATAGGCTATAGGACCGTCTATCAGCGTAGGCCTTTAGGGCCTGTCTGTCCTAGGGGTAGCCCGGGCCTGCTATCCGCAGTTAGGGTGGCTGTAGGAAATTCAGTTAGTACGGGCCAGTGTCCCTCAAGATTTTCCCTACAGGTAGGTCTCTCGGTTAGCCCTCAGCCAAACGAAATTACGAATCTATCCTACCTATGGTACAACCTCGACGAGAGAGGCTACAGGCTACTGGAACCGGCAAGTCATTGCATGGCACTGCTGACGTGGCACTGTTGTTGACGTGGGACTGTTGCTGACGTGGCACTGTTGCTGGTGTGGCACTTACCAAACCGGGAATGCAGGTAAAGGGATGGGTGGGATGGAAACGGAGGAAGGTAACCAAACTACACTTTCCAGTCCCGGTCCTAATCAACAGAAAATAAAAATAAAAATAAAAGAAGAGGATCCTCCCCCATTCTTTTTTTTTTTTTTTTAAATCTGTCGATTTGATATCAGTGAGGCACTTATGGTGCGATGAGAAGTAGGCAGGCTTCGCAAAATTTCAGCTTTAAAAAAAAAATGACAATCTTTAAAAAAAAAAATAAAAAAATGCGACATAGAATGGAGATTCGGTTTTCAGAAAAGAATAAATTATTAAATTCAGTTTCCGATAATGTGGCAACCTCCCTCGTTACCTGGTATGCCTAGAAAAAAATGAAAGCTAATATCAAAATTTTTGATAAAGAAAGAAAAAAGAGAATTTGCAGAGATTTAACGGGGTCCTACTTGATTCAATCAATCAAACAATCATCAAATTATCAATCGATCAATCACCCAAGCAAGCTCCTTGATTGGGCAGATCCTCTGACTGAGAGGT